TCACTAGTTACTGGCCGGATAAAGAGGGAAGGTTGGGCATAGGGCTAGCAAACCTACCTCGTAAAACCAATCCAGTCCCTGGAGAAACTTCAAAGCACAAAGAAAAATTAAACTTATTCCTAGCTGGAATCGGCGAGACAAAATGGCGCTAGATGGTGAAAGCCATTGGGAAACCAATTGGCATATATGTCTTCTGTCGATGAAAGCGGAAGTAAGAATGGGGACACTTAGACGATAACGACGAGCACACGTGGTTCTGGAGTGACTATTATCATGTCCTCAAGAGCATCGAAGGCTCTCTCTCATACAGTGGGAAGCAATCTCCTCCAGAATCCTGACAGCAAGATTCAACTCAAAATGAAAGAAAGTAATAATCATATAATGCTGCGCTGCGCTACGCGCCTAAAAATAATGCTAATCAAGAGAAGAAGGAGAAATTCTACAGACAACTGCAATCAGAACTGAACAATACTCCAGTTGGCGACATCAAAATTCTAATGGGCGAGGTGAGATGAATGCCAAACTGGGAGCGGACAACACAGGAACAGAACTAACCATGGGTCGAGAAGCATTTGGTGAAATGAACGAGAATGGAGAGTTGTCTGCAGAATTCTGTGCATAGGTAGTGTGTTCAAGCACAAGGATATCCATAAAGCGATATGGATTTCACCAGACACGCTAAAAATCAGATCGAATTCATCTCAGTGTGAAGGAAGTGGAGATGCAGCCTACTGCACACAATATCAGATCAAGAAGAGAAGCAGATGTGGGTTCACACCACTCACTATCTAGTGCAAGAAACCTTTATTCAGAATCAAGTCGAAAGCCTTCAAAGAAGAAGCTGGCGACAGATCACAGTTCAAGTTCAACACCCACCCAGCATAGAAATTGAACTGAAGGAAGAAACTACAAAAGATATCTTCGCATCAGGAAAAATAGGGGACATTAAGCAACATCTTCGAGGAAACCTGCGTGGAAAACACTGGAACTGTTTGAAAGAGACGTGGAAGGAAACCTGCATAACCGTGTTAGGAAGGAAGAAAAAATAGGACAGGTAATAGATCTCGACGGACACATGGAAGCTGATAGAACAGGGAGAGGAAGATGGTTAAGCAGAAGATAAATCAGTGCAGTGTAGGGATAAACAATGAAAAGAGGAACTGAACACAACCTATAAAATACTGCACTGGAAAAAGAAGTGAAGTAGAGTGCATGCAAGGATAAAAGACACTTCTACAAAACATTGGGATGTAGAGCAGAACAGGCTGTAGGTAGTAGAGACCTGACAGCACTATATCAAATAATCAGGTTACTATCTAGGAAGAGATCAACACAGCACACATGAAACCAATGAAAAAAAGTGAAGAAAATCTAGTTACCAAAGAGGAGAAACAAAGGAAACAATGGGCTGACCACTTCAAAAAACTCTTGAAACGACCACCACCACCACCTGCAACTCATCCAGAAATACCACAAGCAGCCTAGCCAGAGAATTGCCAATCAACTCAAACCCTCCAACAAAAGTCAAAGTGAAGTCCTGAATGCCATAAAACTGCTGAAATTCGGGAAAGCAGCAGGACCAGTTGGAAGTCCTCCAGTAGCATTGAAAGCAGATGCAGAGACAACAGCAGCGGACATGCTCACACCATTATTGCAGACGGTTTAGGAGGAGGAAGGGAAGAAAAAGTACCTGATAGTTGATAGGAAGAAGGGCTGTCTTGTCAAACTCCCAAAGAAGGGAGACGTAAGTCTTTGCAAGAGGTGGGACGGAACCCCTATGTCTCCACCTACCAAAGCAAAATATTATGTCGCATCATCCTGGAGAGACCGAACAATTCTCTGCACTCAAAACTACGACCGGAACAGTCTGGCTGGCTACAGGAAGAGCAAATCATATGCGAATCAAATTCCAACGTTACGCTACACATCATCATAGGACAGAGTATAAAATGGCAGTCATCTCTCTACTTCAACTTCATCGACTTTGAAAAGGCCTTTGACAGTGTTGATCGAGAAGTGATTAGTCTCTTGCTTCAACACCATGGAACTCCATAAACGTTTTTCAGTCTCATGCAGCAGCATTGTGAAGACGCCACATGCCAAGAGATTCACAATCAGAAGCTCAGTAATACCTCTAAACTGAAGACAGGAGTAAAACAAGGCTATCGCCTACTATCACCGATCATCTTCCTGATTGTTTTCGACAGGATCACGCGGCAAACTGCGAGGAGCGAGTAGATGGATATACGCTAGCTGGATCGATGAAAACACCTCACGAGAAGATTTGGATTTCCCGAAGGTGATTCTTGTCTAATGTCTTGTCTCACAAACTCGAAGATCTACAGGCAAAAACTAACAAGTTGACAAAAGAGGCGAGGCAGAGAAGACAGGACTTCAAATGAGGGTACAGAAGACAAAGGTGAAGATGCCCAACCAACAACAACAAGCACCAATCACCATCAACGGGAGAAATCTGAGGAAGGTAGTCTCTTTCACTACTACCTAGGCAGCATCATCTCAACTACAGGTGGCAAAGACACAGATGAGGACCTCGAAACCAGGATCCGAAAAGCTAGACAGGTCTTCACCAATCTGAAGTCAGTGTGGAGATCTACTGCGTTGCACTGCACTCAGCGTAAACCGTGAACAAGATCTATATTTTCAATACTAATTCAGTCAAGTCAGAGCTTCTATGTGATGGTTTAGAGACTTGGTGTGGTGCATTACGAAAGGCATTTCCAACAAACTACAGACATTCATCAACAGCTGCCGCCTACGCTCACTCGATGCTGAAGAACGGATGGTCCGAATAAATAATAAGAATAATCAATAAAGAACTCTGGCTGATAACAAATCAACCAAGAACCCATCGCTCAACAAATATGCAGTGGAAGAAAGTGTAGATGGATTTGATTGGGCATACAGTGAGAAGACAGTTAGGGGACGTTACTTGTCATGTCAGGCTATGCCAGGCCAGACCCTCGATTTGAACCCAGATGGGGAACGACGAATTGGGCGTCCAAGGCAAGGGTGACATGGAGGAGATAGTGTGAGGAAGAAATGAAATCCTATGGGCAATGGTAGAGCCAGGTTGATAAGACTGGAGAGAGGAGAGTGAAATGGCAATGTACTACTGAAGCCTTTTATTCCACTAGCAATCCAAGGGACAAATAATAATAATTAGACAGTACTATGTTCCAGAACATTTTGTAGCATAAATTTTATTCTCTGTACTTCCCCTAGAACTGGATGAACATTATACGATAAAATAATGTGGTCGAGTTGTCTTTTCTGTCAAATATATGACTATAAACAGTTTCCGTAAAATAGAATCTATAAGAATGCTCTATGTCGAATACGTAGTGTTTGCTTTGATGAAGTTTGCTTTACTTATCCTAACAAACAGTTTAATTAGCTTGAAATATCCTACGCAGGTTAAATAGAAGAAAATTTTGATTTGTGAAGCATTTTCGTCGACTAGTTTCATACTGGATGGTAAGTCAAGTGAACAACTTTGCTTATAACCGTTCGTTGTAATTCTAAGGAAGCTAGCAGCGTATAAAGATTGCCTGAAGCATCACCTTGATGAAGTAATACATTATATCATCGAGAGCTGAAAAATGTAATATAATGCTCTTAAGAATGTTCTTCCGTGGTAACCCAAGGTCATCTGTCCAACGTTTCAGAAGAAAACTACCATCTGAATTCGAATAAACTTTATGAAACATTTAAAGAAAATATATAAGAATAACCTTTCCAATATATTATGAAATCTGACACAATAATATCGTGAAATTTCAATAGTCCTAGTGACACTGTTTTTAGTTTCAAATCACGCTAGTTATTTAATTTGATCCGAAATAATATTTCTATATTCTGTCATTTGGTAACCTTACAAACAAATACTCATGCTATTAACTTTAGGTATATTAATTTATTCACTTACCAGAAAAAGAATCAACATTCATTCTAATTGTACAAAAAATCATATATATTATGATATACAGACAATCTTCGAAACAACTTTTGCTATAATTATGAAGTCTGTGATAATGAAAATTACTCTGTCAGCACATTTGGCATACGAAGTAATAAAATAACAAACTGCTTGCTCATCTTTTTGCGGGATAATTCGGAAGATTTAACTGACCAACTATTTCATGCTGTGTTGAATAAATCAAGAAGGAAATTAACACAAATGCATACACTTGATCTACTGTTAGTTGAAAATAAAATTTCAAATCCAGCGTAAAACATGAAATAGACTAGCAAAGAGTAACCTCTATCTTTTCAAGAACAAGAAACTCGCGAATAGATTTCATTCAGTGGTTTATTCTTTCTATTCGTCTATATGAAGAAAATTAGTATGGTTCATAACACTAAAGTTTCCTTTAATGTTTGCTTAAAATAATGCAGACTTGACAGATGAAATCTTAGGGAATAAGTATGATACAAGACTTCATTTCTTTATTCTGGTGGCTTGAATAACGCACTGAGCTGATACTAATTCTCATCACAATCTAACACTAACTCAAGGTGCTTATAGAGCAGGTTGACGTTGTAAATTTTTCTAGTAGTAGTTTGAGACGAATGAAGGATGAACACGATTGGTGTCTTTAATTTCTGAAACTAATAACTATCTGTCTCATAGTATATTTACAATGGAGTGTCACTAAAATGAAGGTCCTGAACTGAGATATTTTAGATTAAAATTTCTTTGGAAGACATAAGTATTATCTTCAAATTATTCAAGGCTGTTTAGGCAGAAAGCCGCACAGTAATGACACAGATAAAAACCCGGTATTGACTCTTCAGATAATAACATTATAAGAGTCATTTTCTAAACTTAACTTTATAGCGTTCATCAAACCAGACAAAAAAATAATCATTCGCCCTTTTTTTTCAGTAATAAAGCTCTGAATCAAAAACAGTGAACATATGCAGCTCGTAAACTCAACAATACTGCACGTTGTAATGTAATCTTAGCCAAAAGATGTCAGATGTTTAGACCTCTCTTAGAAGTCTAAGCCAGAAGACAGAATATCTGCATGCTATTTTTTGTAATCTAATGGCAGTTTGGCTGATATATTTTCAAATAAAAGGCTATATATATAAATTATTTACACTAAAAATTGTAATGGAATATCCTGAAAAGTTACAATTTCTCTCGAATTATTTTCTCAGCTCTCGGTGTGTAATGAGCCACTGATGAACTTTCTACCATATGAAATTGAGAATCAAAAGTCATTTGGTTTACACTCAGTCTCAGGTGTAAAAACGGCAAACAATTTGACAGGGTAATGCGTATCTGGATAATGATTGATTGGCCTGATAAACAAACTAAATATAATTATGCTACTGAAATTGTTAAGGTATGCTGTTTACTTTTTCATTTTAGTCATTTATGAATAAATTTGCATAATATTTATTTTCTATTTGGTTGCCTAAAGAACTGAAATAAGATGAATTTTAATTAGATAATTAATGATACTCAAGTGTCCTATAGTGCTAAGAATTCCCTAATGGTTGATAAATACTCTAAGTGCGAAAACTGCAACAGTACATTTAAGAATGTTTTCAGTCTGTAGTATGGAGTATGTAATTTAAGTGACAGTACATCATGATTGTTCAGTAAAATATTCAGTAATGATGTCAGAAAGCTTTAAAGTAATCAAAACATAGGCATTTATAAAAATGTGTTAGTTAAGTTTACTGGTTTCATAAGGGAGATTCAATTTAAGCTGGAAACAACATACGAGATTTAGGATTCTGTAGAATATATTATATAAATCACTTGATTGCTTTTATGTAGTATTTTCCATATATGACCTTATTACAGAATTTGATGTTATCTAAAATCGGTTTGTCACGCCTGAGCTTTTATAAATGATAGTGTTTCTATACTATCAGTAAATATTTTAGTAGTTGCTTACGGCCTTCAGAATATTTGAAGCACAATGTTGACAACTGTATGACAGTCCTGTTCCTTTTTTCTCAAATAAGGTTACTTGTGAAAGCGCTTTGGCGTATGCAAGACAACTGCATGAAAAATTGCGTTACAAGGATATTGTGATGAAGAAGGACAATTTGATATTTCTAACTCTGTAAGCTGCTGTGTCTTTAACATTTGTTACTTTCGTGACTGCACAACCTAAACTGAAAACTTTTTCCTTGAACCTTTAGCACAGTTTTTGGTTCCTCATAATATAATAAAGGCTGGAATGCACAGCTGCTGTATTCACTACAACTAGTGCAGTTATTGCCTACTGATGCATGAATGATGTGTTGTTGAGTTATTAACCCTCGTTGGATCCTATCATTCAGGTTTTCAGTGTGAAGTAAGAGACATGACATCCTAGTACATAGCTTTTCATTGCAACCACTTCTGAACAGTTTTTAGGAATCAGCTGTCCTAGGTTTTGTGTTATCTGTTTCTCGTAAATTTCTATATGCTTTTCGCCTATTTACTTTAAGTATCGGTACACCTGGTATGCGGGACTTCTTTAGATAGGCTGCACTCCTCATCGCACTATGTTGATATTGATTAGAGTTCCAATACAAACAGCTCAGCTTATGTCACAAACTATAATTATTCTAATGTAGAGGCGTAATAAATCAATAAAGCTAAATGAATAATTAGGTAGGTAGAGAAATTTGACCCTTAAGAGTAGATATGATGGATTTCAGTTTTAGAAATTGTTCAGTGTTTCAGGCATTTCTAAATATTACTAATTCAGTTTATCCAACCAATCATATTCAGATAGTAGACAATAATCCAGCTCTTGCAGATTTTTCTGGCACGAAATTTAAAAATTAGAAAGTGATCACTATTTATTCGGGTAACTACCGCCTAGACAAAATGATCTACCATTTGGTGTAAATCACACATATGAATGTTCAGATTTCTAGTGGAATATTGTCCGACAAACATCAAACACTTCCTAACATCACATTCCAAAAAGCGTATTTTGAGCTATTTTTTGACCGAATAATGATGACTCATCTAGAAGAGATCAAAAAATCTGACGTACAGTACAGTCATATTCTATATGTTTTACATGAACACACTTCAGAAGCTGATGAAATCGTTGGAATCATATATACTGCTCTCATTTTTCTCTCGTTTATTTGTGTTCATATCAAACATTTAGCTTTCTATCGGTCTGAACAATCTTGAGTTGATATCGAAAGTAATTCAATGGATTTTGTTACTTTTAAACATACAAATCCCGTCGTTGCCGAACAGCTCTACGCGAGGTAATAGTATTAGTCCACCTACACTTACTACTGTCAATATTAATAGTAGTATAACTGACAAGAGCAAAAGTATTGAGAGCGATGGTACCAGTAGCTGTGACATTTCAATCGAAAAGCATAAATCTACTGGTGATGAAGAAGCGAAAATTTCCTACCAGACATTAGAAACCCTAAAACGCCTTCAGTATAATGGTTACAGTGAGGTTATTCGTGTGTTAAATCGCACAATTTATCGTATGAATGCTAAGGTGAGTACTATAAAACATTAGTTTTGTGTGTCTCAATGTTTGCAGGATTTTTTAAAACTTGCAAGTTACATTATCTTCGAATAGATTTTTATGGAGATGACATTAACCCCTTCACCCTTCAAAAATGATTGGAAACTCGTTAATTAGGGTTAGATACCTTACTTAACCAGGAGTCTTTGCTTGCTGGTATGTTATGGCAAGAAGCAAAAAGTTCTCTTTCTCACAAAGAGCGGCCCATTACAGAACCTTTGCACATCTGTTCCTACCCTTCTTCGATCGACAGAAAAAGTGGGTTAGACATCCCACAGATATGGCAAACATTAATGACTCGCATAGACAGTTGTAAATGATATATGAGGAGAAGGCAGAACACAACTTTATTTCACCGTATTTCACATGATTTATTCGTAGTTAATTCATGGTTGAATAATTCATAATGTTATTTCGCTTGTCTTAACCACGCCAAAAAATATTGGCTGTACTGTCACAAACTGTCTAATCCTATTACATATTACCATTATTTTCATCAGTTTCACCTTCCTTTCTGAGTCATATACATTCCATGAACCATTCTATATATTGCACAGTTCATTTTGTTGCGTGTCGCAACTCATATAATAGAAATGACGCAACACCTATACCAGAGATATGGAACATTTTACTACCAAAAAAACAACTCATATGAGGTAACGTAACTATAAAAATCAAATGTCGACAGTAGTGTGATTACATTGATGTGATTATGAGCAATAATCATTTATGCTTGAGACGTCATCAAGTAAATAATACCAGATCACTGTGTTATGGATTAAATTGACAAATCTAATATGGAATAAAATTCTACACCAGTGTCCAGGTTTCTTACCTATATTAACAACTGGAAAAAGCCTCTTTGATCGATTTGTTAGTTTACTGACCTTCATCTTTGCTCCATATCACGATATTATTGGATGATAGTAAAGGTTACTTGTACCGAAACTAGAATATTAACTTGAAAACCAACAAGACTTCTCTATTTTATGGAATCTACTTTGCCAGCAGAAGTGAACCAGCCTAATTGGTTATTTCAGTTGTTGCTAGGGTTGCCTTTAAAGTCACTCGTGATTTAAAATAAAATTATTTCCATTTGGAAGTTTGTGGGGGTTTGTTGATTTCAAGCTGGTATTCATCACATACTGACATCAGTTTAAGAAACTTTGGAAACTAGGGAGCACTGAACGGCTGTTTCGTCTTTGTATGGGACTTCTCAGTAGTGCGCACCCATGACTCCGACAAGGACTGAACCACTACCTCCAGGTTCCGTGTCCAGCAAGTTGTCACTGAGCCACTGGGTTGAAATCCAATAGTCCTATTTCCAACTTCTGTCAGTTCACGACACAGCACGACCCACAAATTGAATTAATCTAGTGCTCATTGGTGACTAGCTCCGAGGGGTGAAGTTCCAATATGAAGTCATCACCAGTGCAGCAGACCTAGTGATCGTACAGATAAATACCCACTGATGACATTAGGTGATGGTCGCGCTACGTTGTAAAATGACAGAAGTTGGAAATATGGACTATTGGATTTCAACCCAGTGGCTCAGTGACAACTTGCTGGACACGGAACCTGAAGGTAGTGGGTTCAGTCCTTGTCGGGGTCATGGGTGCGCACTACTGAGAAGTCCCATACAAAGACGAAACAGCCGTTCAGTGCTCCCTAGTTTCCAAAGTTTCTTTAACTGATGTCAGTATGTGATGAATTATTTCAACTTGGAATATTTTGTTTGATGCCACGACTTTTTTCGAAATCACATGACACACCAATCATGTGTTTTATAACAAGCAAGTTTTAAACTTTTGATCTATCATTGCATTTGTGTTTATCTAGTTTACTTCCTTATTTTACTGAATGAAGAACGATGAACTTGATTAGTTTTCTGCGCACAGAACATGACGATAAAGTTCATCATGGAACAGAAAATGTCTGCTGACTGATTATACATCTTAGAAACACTATAATCAAGTATAACTTTGGTGATAAAATAGTACAATTACTTTATGTAGAAATACAGCTTGATTTTATGGCATTATTTAGCTTGTCCATGTGAACAGCAAAGGGTTTTGCATGGACCATTTGAAAAATCACAACTGTGCGTGATATGACTACTGAAATTAGTTCATTTGCATCTTAATGACTAAAAGATCTTAAAAAGATCAGAATCAAAGGATAAAGATGATTAAATATCTGTTGTGAGGTTAATAGTTATTTATCAAAGAATGAACATGCTTTGTGAATCTAACTTGGACATGAGAACTTTCTTAGTTGCCTTTAATGGCATCTTTCCGTCTACTTATGCCCGCAGTAACACATATGTTCGAAGGACTAGGAGGACCGTGGACAAATAATGTATGAAAGTGCGTCAAGTTTGTCTAAAAAGGCCGCTGGTAGACATCTTAATACAGGTCATAACGTAGATTTTAACAATGTCTTCTATGTTCTGTAGAAACAATCGATGTTCGTCGCTTTGAACCTAATCTATAAGTATTGAACGACTTCATGGGTCACCTTGAAGCGACTCGGTGACTTATGGTTTGTTTATTGTCTTATTTACGTGTTGCTTTCTCCTCTTCTCTAGTATCTAGTTGCTTTTAATATCTCTCTTGAATATACAATATATTTCTCTCCAGTTTCTTCTGTTTTTATTTCATTTAAATTCGACGAACTTCATTACAAATTGATTTTGGATTGAAACATACCTGTTACTGTATTTTTGAGATGAACGGGGATTTCAATTTCCAGGTGGTATTCATCACGGACTGACATCAATCAGGGAACCATTGAAAACCTGGGAGCACTGGACATCTGTTACTGTTTAATCATAAGCCCTAGTTTTCTTGGTCGTCATTTTATTCACCTTGAACACCATTTTCACTAAATCCTAATCGTTTACCCCTTTGAATCTTATAGTCAACCAGTTTAAATTCTACTTTTCAGTACCATTATTATTGCTATCGTAACTACTTTCTTCTAGTTTTGCTTTCATGATGAGTTTGTTTCTCTGCATTATTCGACTTCAGATGTTATGTCATCAGATTAGTATTGTGTATGTTTTCCTTGGGTTTGATTGGGTCAAGCTTCCTCCCCATTTTTCTTTGCTCAGAAAGCTTCATTACAATAAAATATATCCCTAAACTCTATGAATTTACTCTACATTTAATTCTAACCAACTACTTTTTCAGTTGTATACAGTCATTGAAATTATTGAGTCTGTGGATGATATAGCAGATGTAAAGTGAAAGTAGTTCTGGTCAAAGGTCAATATAAATTCCAACACAAAGGAAAGTTGCGTTACTGGGAAATAAACAAAGTGATTACAAAATAAAATAGTTATGTCGTTTGTGGGTTATTAAGAGGTTGTACATATTTCTTTTGAACTCATAATGATGGTTTGAATTTTTGAATCGCTAATACTTCAACTATCCCCAGATGTATTAACCTCACTTCAAGATCTAATAGGATCAAAATGATTCAAAGTGTGTCATTTGGCTCCTTTTAATAAGTCCTTCAAAATTCTGTAAAAAGTGCGATCAAGCCACTCGAAAGGAGTTAGGCTAAGGCATCTGAGTATAGCTGAAGTATTTGTGATTCAAAATTCAAACCATCATTATGCATTCAAAAAAGAAATATGTACAACATCTTTCTATGCCAAGACCATCATAGATTACTGATCACTTCAAATAACCCATATGTGACATAACTACTTTTTTTTATTTTGTCATCATTTATTTAATTCCCGATAACGCAACTTTCCTTTGTGTTGCAATTTATATTGACCTTTGGCCAGAAATTACTCAGGAATATTCTCTCCTTTTTACTACATATACACGAACTTACTGCTAAGAGAATGGTTTCATCGAAAACAAAAATTCTCTCCGCTGCGATTATCTGTATCTTCCTAAGTTCCAATGGGATTGTTTCGAGATTTGAAATGATCTCATTTAGCTCAACAATATTTGATTTTTACAGAGACACCTTATGAGGCTCTTCTGTAAATCACAGTTGACTATTTTTCAGTCTGCTACTTTCGTGAAAGAAGTTCACAGTCTTGGTGTGGTATCTGATATAGTGTTGCTAGATAGGCTGCTAACCATATAAATGGAGTAAATAAATAAAGCTTAACATGAGTCACACAACCAAAGTCATATACATATGAGGGCGTAAATGTCAATCGATTTGTCCCTTCATTTGTGCAAGAAGGCTCACTTTTGATTAAAACAATGGGTTTACTGAACAGCTGACGGCATGTCACTCTTATTCATATAGAAATAGGTTATATCGCTTCGACTATATTAAACAATAAGAAGACTTTCGGTTTGAATCGTGCTACATCTCAAACTTTCCATTGATTTCAATCGCCAGACATCACCATTATGAGGAATGTAAGAAATTTATAGAAATATAACGGTTTTTTGTGAAGTGTATTTTCTACTCACCTGGCTAACCTGAGTGATGTTACATCACTACTTTACACAGGCTTTACAGTAAACTGTATCCTATGTTCCTATGATTAAGAGAAGTGAAATAAAAAATATTTCTCATTATTTGTAGTTGGACAAAAAACAAAAGTCATCGCGAAAGGAATCGGTGCAAAAATATATTTATACATTTTGAGATATTCTTTCTTTTGTTTCAGTCATTCTTTCTGGTGGGGAGTGAGACATATTCGTAAATATCTCAAAATATTCACCCTCTGAATGCTTACTTTTTTGTCCCAACCGGTAAATGATAAAACTACCAGAATTAAACAGTGTTGAAGTAATGCTTGAAGATTTTTATCCAAGTTTCAATGGAAGTTGAAATAATTCTGCAATAGTATATAGATACGTTGCTCGCCTAAAACCACAGTATTTTAACTGTGTGACTATTTTCCAATTTTCTGCTTTCTTTTGTACTCAATAGATGAGACCAGAGATCAGAAAAAATGTGTTTCATTTGTGCTGGAGTTTGCGGTCAACTCCAGTTGACAAGGTGAGTCATGTGTTCATAAAGTGAGTTAACAATATCAAAAAATAAGCAGAAAACCCAAAGTTTTCATATTATGTATAGTTGTAGAGTATAGAACAAACATAAATCAACTGGTTTCCATTGAATGCTAAGTAATTTTTTTGAAAAATCATTTTTGACAAGAATAAAAGTTGCAGAAACAGCAACGCAAGATGAAACTTATGATAAAAAGGTTTTATACAGAACTTCAACCTCTGAATTAAAATATAAATCCAGATTGAGCTGCCTCGTTTAGCATGATTCCCTGTGCCACGTCCGCAAATAAATTGTGATTTCATCTGCAAAACCTTCGCTGATAAAATTACACTTTATAACTGTAATCTATAAAAAAGAACATCCTATGTTGTTTATATAACTGGGGTTTTGACAATATCTCGGTATGCTTTTCGTAAAATTCCTTGTACGAGTGTGGTACTGTTGTTTATTGGTTTGGGGACATAACTTTTAACCAGTAGATCACGAGTCCGAACCCCGCCCCACCTACCGAGGCTTGGGAAGCTAAATAGTACCATTAGCTGTCGCATAACAGGTGTGGCTCATTGCTTATTGTACGAATGAGCATATACTGACAAGGTGCATTTCGACTTCGACTCTTATATGAGGTAGTAAGTGCAAAATTGTTTTTTTTCAAAAACTAATGAGATGAGAAATTACCTTCACTATTAAGTACCTTTTTAGTCCCCTTACTTTCATACGATCTTGTAGCTTAGGTGAATCCTTTGTAGAAACTGTATTGATCCTAACCAGTTTCTGACCAACTACCCAACTGAATATTAACCAAGTACTTATTTGTATCTGCCTACGAAAGTAATTCTCATATGTTATCATGAAAAGTCGTGAGCCATGTTATCAAATATTGGACGCACCAATCTCATTAAATGTCTCTTCCTGCATCTTGTTACCTATCTGATTCTATCTCATTGCTTTAGTTGATACCTGGAGATTCCAGAAACTATTGGGGTAGTGCATGTACACCGAAGAAAAATTAAAAACCAAACGAAACACTTGTCTCATGCTCCATCGTTTATGAAAACTGCTGAAGCAAATCTCATGATAAAAGCTAGAATGCACCGAACCAAGCAATCACTTCCATCTTATAGCTCTAAACTTCTTGGTTGTTCAGTAGTAACATAATACGATATAATGACACACACTAGTGAGCGTTTGAACGCTAACTTTCAGGTACCACCCCGTCATGGTCACTCGATTCCTAAGAAACAGAAAAGATGGTGAAAGAGAAGGTGTATTGCAACTTCAAACTATATTGTAAAACACAACGGTGCATACCTACGATGAACTTGGTCATCTTCAAGCTATTTTAGAAGGTTCTTTTTCATTGGTTTCCACTGTTGAGGAAATCAAGTATATACCGTGATGACCACATCTTTTCTCGAAACTCTGGATAGTAATTACTGGTTTTTATAGACTTCCGGGCTTTAGGGCTTACTCACTGAGGGATCTGAGTAATCCTATAGCACAGCGTAATACAAAGCTGCAGTATTCATGACATTCCAATCGTTTTGATACGATATTTTCGGAATGTTTCGTGATTTATTTATCGCAAACCTATTTCAATGCATATCGGAATACAATTTTCCCTAGAAAAACAGGACTTTTGTAATTCATTTCTTTACAGGCTATGCATGATTTAGTTGTGTACTTAGAATCGAATATAAGAACACTAAAAGTCAATGTGTCCAGCAATTTATTACAGCGCTGCTTATTATCTATCTGGCATGAGTGCTTAGAACAATACATAGAACAAACAGTTAAAGAAGCCGAAATTGGATCAGTTAATGTTGGTGGACCAGGAGCATATTTGCAGTTGAAGCCAAATTTTAGTTCAGTTGACAACTGTTCAACCGTAATCCCCTTGTCTACGCATGAGATGCATGAAATCATGTCTAATTTACCAGCAGATATAGACAAAAATCAAGTTTTTCGAGCTAAATCTACGCTGGAGAGACTTAAAAAGTCTTTGGGCATTCTACTTGACTTTTTCTACAAAAATAGTGATGATCAGATAGCTAAAAGAAGTTTAGAAACGGAAGAATATTATGTAAGATCAACCATTTTGTGCTTATAATATTTATTCATGCTATATTTTCGAAGTGTCACAATTCTCTTAATGGCTAAAACTGACTAGGTTTAACATTACACAGGAAAAACAGGCATACAGACATTATATTATTGAACTTTCCATAGAAGTGTATGACTTCAAATCACTAAACTTTTAAATCATACAAAAACAGAATATCGGATAAATGAAAGGATATTAAAATAAAAAAGAGGGATATGAGTTGACAGAAAACTAACAGGTAGATCGGATAGGCTCTCGATGTCAATAAAAAAATTAAAAGTGAATATATTCGTTTTATTGTCACCTATTCGTATTTTGTTATCTGAATTCTATTACCACTAAAATCTTTAGTCAAAAATCCAGCATTTTGAATTAAGGCCAAACGAAGCAAATTAGCTTCAAATTATGCTAATTTGACTACACTCAACTTTTTCACTCAAGCCAACATTGTTTGCCAAAGTGGACGTTATCTCTGCAGGTAAATCATATGCCTCAAGTATCTAAGATGGCGTAGGTTCATCAGTAGGTCAGGAAGCATATTTTTCTTGCTTAATACTTCAAAATATTCAAAAGATGGTTACAATATCAATAAATAATGTTTCAGAAACGCGTACTATCAAGTAACTAAAACTCCCATATGTTTGTTTTTCATCGAAGTAATTCTGTCACCACCATGGATCCATACATTTGTCACGTTTACGCTTTAGCTACATCTATAAATCCAAACTATTTCATATCTTGTAAATGAGAGCAACTCAGTCATTCCTTCTAAGTTATAATTAAAATGATAATTACCAGAATAGTAAGAATCATTCTTAATTTCTGACCAAATCAGTTAATTACCGTACTATAGATGTACCTCTCAGCTCAATTTCTGCTTAATTGAGGCTATAGCTCAGTGCATTCTCAAACTTGGTAAATACTGAAATTACATTTTATTTTTTCTCACATATTTCAGAATGTTAACTACTTGATACAGTTATATAATAGTAGTACTCCAGAAGTTGTTGAACAATATTTTATTGAAAAACTCAAAGAACAGGTAAACTGTTGTCAGTCATAAACTTTATTTTTTTTATTTTTCATAATATTTACAATTGGTCACATACTTATTTCATTCAAAGTTATTCTATAGAAAAATCACTTTGTGAAAAGCAAATGACAAGACTTTGTTTTAGATTAATGTCGTAAGAGCACTTGGTTTTTTCACTTTAATTCGACTTATGATGGAAACAACGAATAGAGTTGGTCCAGTCATATATTGAGTAACTGAAAACAATCTGAACAAACAATAATCTTTCCAACAAATTTTTATTAGGCTCAACAATTAAATATTCAGTATACTGGTTACCAGTGAAATGGATGAAGCAAACTTTCTGTTGATAGTTAAAAGGCATGATAAAATTTAATTGGTGGTTCATGTGAACTGATTTATTTCAAAGCAGTTTTAATCATGATACAATGTTGTCTTAGGAAACATTGAAAACCTGGAAACGCAAAACAGTCGTTTCCATTGAATCTAAGGCTCCTTAGCGCTTTGCGCCTCCGGCCTCTTTTGAGACCAAGGCAATGAACATCAGGTCTTGCAGCGAGAATCTTACCCTTCAACCAATAGGTTACAACCCATTGGCCAAGATTTTCTTTTTCGTATCAGTTCGTGACATAGCCATAAGCTGAATTTCTTGAGGCTCTACTTGGAAGCCATGTATGCAAACGAATAGTTGCTTATGGCGTTGGGTGGTGGTTAAGCGAACTCACAAGTTAAAAAACCAGGAAAATCTGAACCATTAGATTGCTTTCCAGTTTTATAATAGTACGTTCATCTTACGGAGAAATAATGGTCCTGAAACCACTTTCTTATAAGGTTGGGGATATACGCTATTTAGGGTTCCCAAACTAGAATGAAATGACTGTCTTTTGCACCGAGATTTTCGATCATTATATACAGCATGTCATTTCATGACAATTAGGTGTTGACTAAACAGGCTTCCAAAAAGTGAAATATACCTTCGATAGGGTGGGAACTCATGAGTTTCTAACCACTAGTTTCCCCAGTTTTATAATTTGCACTTTTGGTCTGATTTCAGCAAACTACTTGCTTCATATAACTATTCTGTTTGAGTATTTGATTGGCAAAATGAATATCATGCAAAAGTGTATATACTGAAGTATCACATGTCCCATTATTTCTATAACTGGGCTGGGAAATGATTGGGAAGGATGTAGATCATGACAGTTAGCTGAAATATCCACACCATCTCATTTTACCTATGAACACAGTGAGGATGACTGAAATTGATAAAAAGCTTTACTTAGAGTAGTAAACAAAGTAGCAATACCTCAACTGTCAACCTTATGCTCTGTAGACTGGGTTATGAAAGTACATCATAGGCTGTTTTGTTTAACTGCTGTACGAAACAGAGTACAAAAATAGCTGCGTATCATTAAATTGTATGTACGTTCAAGCCCTTTCATACAAATCCACTTTAATGAGAAACAGAAACTCATTTCTGGCTGTCATTTTAATAGCGCTGTTTAGCAGGTAGATACACTTCAATCCCTTGCCTCGCTAAATGAAAATCAGGCTACAAGTACACGAAGGTCGAAAATCTGTCCGAAACATACTTTTTATGAAACAATGTTTTAAACATCTACCATCAGCCATAAATAAGTGAACAGATGTTTTTTCCCAAATAGTGACCATATAGTTGTGAATACACAATAGTTTTTTTTTTGAAAATCGCTTACCACACTCTTAATGGTTGAGTTTTCGTTGACTTACTGCAGCAGTGTAAAAAGGAACATAATCTAAAAAAATCAATGGCTGTTTTTCATGCCATCAAAAATTACTTCAGAAGTTGATCTAACTTACTGTCAAAATAATAGTCTGTCCTTCAAAAGTAGAATGTTTCAGAGAAAGTAAATTACTAGGCTACATAACAAGTAAACTATACTGCTAAAATAGCCTTCGCATACCAAAATTAGAAATTATAAAAGACCTAAATTGACATATGTGGGACAGGTGCAGAATCATTTCTGTTGGATATATTTGGTGTTGATTCGATAAACAAAGATTCAGTTATCAATCTCTCCCTCCACCCAAATAAGTTAGTTTTTAATACTATCACTTCATCCCACCCTACTGCGTTACTGTGCATAACTGCCTGCAGAGCTATAGTCTAGGTTTTTTTCTAAATTTCTCATCTTATTCGGATTTACTTATCTTGACTTGGCTAAGTTTTTGCGCTCTGTCATTATAATTGGCTCTGGTAAGCTACTTTAACCTATGTATTTAACCTCGCAATCATTGTGAGGGGTTTGGTAAGCGAAATTATTTTGCCTAGTTGCATCAGTAAGATTTTTAACCTACAAAGCTTGTTTCTAAGAGAGTTTGTTGGTTTAAATCTCACTTTAATCCCAGATTTATTAAGAATTCTTCGTAATGGTTCTCAGGTGCCTTCCTTGTATGGTAACACAGCAGAGGGTTTGAATCCTCTCCCAGCCATGGTACCATTACTACTACTAGCAGTAGAATTAGTATTAATAGCACCTATATCACTACTACTACTACTAATAATAATATTTTCCCTTATCGTACACTAAGCTGATATAGTTTTCAGGTTGATATTCATCATGAATGAACGTCAATTGGAGGAATATTGAAAACCTTGGGCACTGGACAACTGTTTTGTCCTAACATGGGACTCCTCATCCGTGTACACTCATGACGCCACCCGTGATCCAGTCCAGGACCTTCAGGTTTCACGTTACTATTGAGCCACTGGGCCAAAATCAAGTGGTCTACTTTTCCTACTTCTGTCAGTTTACGATACAGCGCTACCTCCCTAGCGGGGTGATGGGCGCGCACCATAGAAAAGTCCCATACTAGGAAGAAACAGCTGTTCATTACTCACAGGTTTCCAATGGTCCACCAGCTGATGTCACTTTATGATGAATATCAACCTGAAATGAGTAAATAGGTTGAAAAGAAACTTCCGAGTTTATAGTTCTATTTATTTGAAACGAAGAAAATAAAGCTAGTTAGTATTATACACTGACCAAATAATGAAAATCATTCAAACTCATTTTTCAAGTTTTATGGATTTGAAAATTTTAATTTCATGTTGCCACCATCATCTGCATGAACTATCGGATAATAACCTTGGGAAAACATGAATTCACGCATAGCTTACATCACCAGTGAAAATACTTCAATTTATTAAACTATTTGACATCACCATGTATTTATCAAGTTGATATGTTGATGAAAAAATGACCAGACAGGCAGAACGTTTTCCAACCTTACATTTAGAATTAGTTTTATTTAGGCCACAGATAAAACATTTCGATAAGGGAGAGACTGAATTTAAAACATATATTAGAAAGTTAGCGTATTTTCTCATTACAGTGATTGGCAGTGGTGAAAAACTAGGTAATTCAAAATTTCAAACTCTTGCCAACCTATCAGAGGGTCAACAAATATAAATTCCTGGATGACAGATCAACGACCTAACCCCGCTATTCCAAAAGAGAAAATGATTTTTATCTACAGTGAACGCAGCTCTGTTTCCAGATTCATGTTCATCTGTACAACTTTTCTGATTGACTTAAGTCTGGCTGAACCAACTTTGCTTTTGAAACTTTCGTATCTAGTAAACCCAGTGAATAAGATGTAAAAATATGCCTTAAATATTACACAGAACAAGACTTTATAGAAGAAACTACTATTTATCGATGCTAAATGTCGCAGTATTATTCCTATAAAATGAAGTCAATCGGCAATCCTTCTTTCATACTTCCGTTTCTAAGGTGGTTGGGTAGAAACTGTAAGGAAATTGAACTGAATTGTATGCTTTCTACGAATGAATAATTCCTTTATTCCAGACCTATAACTCTTTAAAACGCACTCACTATGTAGAAGCATGTAATAAAACATTTATATCACATGAAGTTAATCGCGGAAACATTTCAGGCATCATTCCACCCAGTTATATAAAAAAATATCTAAAGGTTTGGAAGCAGTAAATCAAAAATGTTCTCAGGATATATACGAACTACTCATTTTTATGTGTCCTGGTAAGCGCAGTGAGCACTACTTTTGCGGAAACTATGATAGTTGTGTGGTTGTATTTAGTATTAAAGAACGTTTACCGGAAGCTTTTATATCATCATGGATATTGCTTATGATTTATTATGGAACCGTGTGTACACGTTTTGGCAATGTACAGTGTTTTATCGATGAAGGAAAGATCAGATTATTCTTTGATTACTGCAATGAACTTTCGAAGACATTCAGCTAAAAACTTTCCAGCAGATCTTTACACATTATTTCCTACTTTGTCTAGGTTGCTAATAGGAGCGCAGAGCTACAACCATTTTTGAATAGTACGCAATCATGTGTAAACTATATTTTGAAATAACGAAGAATATTTGTAGCTCAGGTAGATGATCTTGGTTGCGTTCTCTAGGGTGGGTGGTTTAACTGCTTGTCAACTTGCATTTTTTTTCCGTTAAAGCTGTACTCAAAGTTGTAATTATTGGAATATTCAATCCGTAACAGTTAGGTTATATGCTTCAATCATAAATGAGAGAGGTATTCGATTCGCAGTTCAAAATTATTTTCGAAATGCTTTCGTAACTAGCATTTTACTGTAGGTCCATATCAATCATATGAATACTGAGAATAAGGTCTTCTGAATACACTCTTTCACCTTAAAATAAAAGTAAAACTAGCACTGAGGTTGAATGTAATTCAATCTCAGTTTGTTTTTGCCAGATTTATCACACAATGATAAAGTATTATTTGCTATATTTCATTTTGGACATCACTTATTGTCCAAAGTTATATCAATTTGATACACCGAAGAAATCAACTGAAATGGAGTTAACTCACGTTATCAGTCGGAACAGCTAAACAGACGTCTATTTGACATGATAATTAGATGTCATGGTGACGTGTACATTGTGATGGAACGGTAGTAATGTTTTATATTTAAAAACAGAAATCAAAGAAATCTATAGAAGAACTAACGCACTCGTGATGAAAACTATGGGTCCAATACATATAAGTATACTCAGCAGTTCCTAGATTTTAAATTTCCAACTACCTGATATTAGTTTGTATTCAAGGTCAACTAAATATTTCCAGGTATTGGGATTGCTATCAACCTTAAAATGTATCTATATTGGTGATTAACTGTTTCCACTTTCATAAATTTATCTGCCCAGGAATTAACCTGTTCTTCTTCATATGGAAAACTGACAGTTAAAATTAATTATCAGCGTTCAATATTATGTGTAGATGTACAACGAGCTACAAATCTGGTTCCACTTGACTCAAACGGTAAGTTAAGCATTCAAAAAAGTGAAGAAAGTGCAACTTTTTCCCAAAATATAGGTGCCAAATTTACATATTTTTATCAGATATATTTAGCATATCATCAAGAAGATCTAAAAAAGAATAAATTCGGTTAAAATCTGTTTTACTCAGTTAAGTTAGTTTCCAACTTTTTATACTTAGCCAGTGGCTCCATTTCTCAAGCAGTCATTCTAGGAATCTTGTGTAATTGTACCTGAATTCAACCACAGGAAGCTATAGTTTACTAAGGGTATTCTCCTATGACTTGTTTTCCCGATAATTTATTATTTTACCTCAAGGTATCCATGATGTCGATTTCATTGTCAAACTTGCCTATAAAATGAGTTACCCATGGGAAGCAAAGTTTGGTTCATAAGGATATTCATTCTCTAAAACTCACTCCAGACTTGTATTCTCATTTTTGCCTATTTAACTATCATGTTTAGTTGGATGAAAAAGTTGAAAATTCCTCAGAGAATAGCACTGCAATATATTCATAAAAAGCTATATAGAAGTGCAACAAGTAGATAGAAAACCATGATTCTACAGAAATCATTAACTAATATTCAGTGTTCAGCCCACACCATTAAATTATGATTTAATGCATTAATTTATAACAAATCTATAAGAAAATTTAACAGGCTGTTTTTTTAAATGTATATATGATCAAAACAGTTTTATTCATCCAATATGCTGTGGGTCATGTATTTGGACAACACTGGTTTTACTTTATAATAACGAAATATTTTCCAAACAAAAACAATACTAAGATGGAGATGAGATTTTGATTAGTTATCTACTCTTCTGTTGTAACAAAACTGATTATAACTTTCAATCTGCTACAAAAATATGATTGTCAAGTTCAGTAAAATTGAAAAAATCTTCTACAAATATTCTTCTGATTAGCATTTAAACTAAATATGGGAGGGTTCATGAACACTGATCAAGAACGTTTCCATATAATCTGCTGAAATAACATATTTCCACGGATTTGACTAAAATGGCCTAATCAGCTGATTAATAGAAGCTCAGAAGTTACCACTTAAGAATAAAGTATAATTCTTACTCATATAAGAACAGGTTTTACAATAAAACTGCTGCTTGTTCATTCAAAAATTCAAAGTCGGCTGTACCTTCTTTAAGCATGATTACTTTAAATAAAGAATCTGTTGTTTCAATAATGATTTATTTCAAAGGTTTATCGGATCCATTCATAATCGTGGAATTATTACCGAAACACTTATTTTCGGAAACTCAAAAGCCTTTTCGAACAAGAATTGTTAAGAATACAGTCGATCCCGTGTTTGATGAGCGTTTTGAATTGTAAGTATTTTATTTTTATGCATTAAAATATTTTTAAATAGACTATCTCATTTTAATTGTACTAGTACTTTCCCCTTGATTGCTTCACTAGGTCGAATTGATCAATCGCTATAAGAGTTTATACTGTTTGATTCTTGGGTTCTTTTGCGAGCTACCACCAAAGTAATTTCATCTGGTTGATGTGTAGACAACATTAAGACACGAACATAAGAGCAGACATGCCAACAGAGGCCGATCGTTCTGGTTTTGTATAACAATAAAGGGAAAATTAAAAGTATCAATAAAATAACAACTTATACTCTCTGCAAGGTAAGTGGGTGTCGGGATATCGCAGTCTAAAGGTAACCAATCTAGTGTTTAGAGTGATATGTACTGGGCATGAGTCTCATTATGAATAAAATTGCTTACTGTCACTCAAATGCGCCCAAATGATGAGCCACAGATAGGAAAGGATGCACGTCCTGGATTCCACTGAAATCCCTCATCAAGCAAGAGACTTTGACTAACATTTCAAGAACGTGGCAGTTACACGTCAAAAAAGCGAAATGAAAGATGTGAACATCCCGATTGAGTAGTAATAGAATAAACATTTCAGAGAACAAATTTATCTCCAGTGATATCATTCTCTGCAGCTGTATAGTCACATTTCATAATGGTTAGTGTGCATAAAACCGTCAATATTTGTTGGTAGTTTGTGGCCATCAAAATAATTGAGGAATGTAAATGAAGTAGAAAATATGTAAGTATTTGACAAAGTGAGTCAAAGTGGGTTGAAATAAGGAACCAAATAATTTGCAACGAAGTGAGTAAATAGCTATCAGTCAGAAAGGGACTCAAAAACTATTAACTGAGCTAAAAGAAGGTCGTTTACACAATAGGAGTATGAAAATGAAAAAAATTAATTAGGCCTAAGAATTGGAAAGTTCAAGAATTAAAAACTGAATAATGCTAGGGAATGGAGAATTTGTCTCTGGACACCATATTCTCGTTTTGATTGTTGTATTCTCAGAGCTTCAGACTCAAAATTACAACCGGAACAGGCTGGCTTCATGAAAAAAATCATGTGCGGATCAAATAGCAACGCTACGGATCATCATACGACACAGCATAGAATGGCAGTCAACTCTTTACCTCAACTTCATCGATTTTGAAAAAGCTTTTGACAGCATCAACCGAGAAGTAATTTGGCATTTGCTTCAACACTATGCTTTTAGTGCCACAAACCTTTATTAACCTCATTCAACAGCTATATGCTATATGAGGATGCAACATGCTAAGTGATTGACAATGGAAAGCTCAGTGATGCCTTTGAAGTGAAGATTGATTGTGGTCGACTGGATCATGCAACTAACTGTGAGGAGCGAGAAGATGGGCATACGCTGATTGACCGATGAAAAGACCCTAGAAGATCTGCATTTCGTCGACGATTTATATCTAATGTGGCAAAAGCTAGAAGACTTACAGGCGAAAACCGACAAGTTGACAGAAAAGGTGAAGCAGAGAAGACAGGACTTCAGGTGAGGGTACAGAAGACAAAGGTGAAGATGCCCAACCAACAACAACAAGCACCAATCACCATCAACGGGAGAAATCTGAGGAAAGTAGTCTCTTTCACCTACTACCTAAGCAGCATCATCTCAACTACAGGCGGCAAAGACACAGATGAGGACCTCGAAGCCAGGATCCGAAAAGCTAGACAGGTCTTCACCAATCTGAAATCAGTGTGGAGATCTACTGCGTTGCACTGCACTCAGCGTAAACCGTGAACAAGATCTATATTTTCAATACTAATTCAGTCAAGTCAGAGCTTCTATGTGATGGTTTAGAGACTTGGTGTGGTGCATTACGAAAGGCATTTCCAACAAACTACAGACATTCATCAACAGCTGCCGCCTACGCTCACTCGATGCTGAAGAACGGATGGTCCGAATAAATAATAAGAATAATCAATAAAGAACTCTGGCTGATAACAAATCAACCAAGAACCCATCGCTCAACAAATATGCAGTGGAAGAAAGTGTAGATGGATTTGATTGGGCATACAGTGAGAAGACAGTTAGGGGACGTTACTTGTCATGTCAGGCTATGCCAGGCCAGACCCTCGATTTGAACCCAGATGGGGAACGACGAATTGGGCGTCCAAGGCAAGGGTGACATGAAGGAGATAGTGTGAGGAATAAATGAAATCTTCTGGGTAGTCTTGGAGCAAGGTTCAAAGGACAGCAGAGAAGAGAGTGAAACGGTGACGTGCTACTGAATCCCTTATGTTCCAACAGGAACTCAAAGGACAAATAATATTATAATAATAATCAGCAATGCAAAATAAATATTTCCCCACACCCTTTGGAATATTATTCTGTGCTTTGTAGACTAGTCAAACCAAATCTTCTGGTGTTGCTTCCTCTGTCAGCCAAGTGTTGTATTTGGAACTGCTGACAAGTCTGCAATGACCTTTACGGAGTCATGCAGGAAGGTGTTGGTAAAGTCAAAACCAACTTTCCTTCGGTATGAAGCATTACATTGTAATTGGAGTTCTACTAAAAGAAGTAAAAATAGAAGGGGGGAAGTTATTTCGCCTTGGTAACATGAGTCCTTACCCTTGCATAAAACGTACGCTACTTTCAGTTGATGATCCTTGGGTATTGGTTGATTTCAAAGTAAATTTTTGTCACGGACTGACATAAGTTAAATATAGTTGAATAGCTAAGAGCATCGGCCAGTTGTTTCGTTCAGCTCACAGACTCCTCAACAGCGTGCAACCAACTCAGTAGCTGAATGGTGATGAGCTCACTGCAAAACCTGACAGTTCTAAACTCAGTGCTTTATTATTTCTAAAATATATACTTGTAAAAAGTTCAAGACTAGCATAAACTAACTTTCCAAATTTTTCAGTGTTTCATCAACCGTTAGTCTATGACGAAAGACTACTTCAAAATTTTTCTATTTAGTTATCACATTTACATTCATTTTATTCTCTTGATTATAACCGAACCTCCGAAATCTGCACCCATTCCTACTATATATATACATATATATATATATATATATATATATATATATATATATATATATATATATGTTTACTTAGGAACTTGCATTACAGCAGCTATCGTGTCAAATTTCAGGTACCAAACTAAGAACAGCAACATTCACAGCTTCTCAGCATTTCCATCTACCAAAGTTCCACAAATTCATTTACTCTTTCGTCTTTTGATAGGTTTTTCATGCTTGCTAGCCACTATCTCTGATACTGTGGAGCCACACTAACACCTGCCTCTTCTGAGCTTTCAGAGGTTTCAATTTATTTCATGCGAGAAAAAAGATTTGTTAAACAGAATCCTTGTGATTTATTTCGTTATATTAATCGGGAGACTGTTTGTTAACAGTCTTTTGTGACTTAGTGACTAGGGTTTTCGTTATAATTTTGCATAGCTTCACAAGACCAGTGTAATCCATTTCATATAAATGAATGAAGTGAAACAAATTCAAGGTTAGTTATTGCCTTAAGTGTTGAAACTAAATTAACAATAAGAAGCAGGGTTAGTTTAAACATAGCCCCAGACCAATAATTTGATACAAGTGGTCGTATTTTACAAATATCAATAGGCACATGACAGAATCTGTTGCAAACTGCTTTTAGCATCAAAACATCAGTTTTATCTTTACCTGCTTTAAAGTTTGTAGATAATTTGGTTTAAAGAACAGCATGTTGTTGAAGTTTCATTTCCCAAAATGCAGTATTGAAGACACAAAATAGCAAAGGTTTGGGCAACTATGTATGCATTGCAATGAACTTCTGGCCAGTGAAGAAAACTAATTTAACAACTAGTTTATCGTCACTTTGATAGGTTTTGAAGGCTCTAGCAACTTACTTTAGTCATAATTGTTGGAATCAAACATGATTCTGGACTGGTGAAGACATAATTCCTATGTAATTAACTTCAGTTTTTAGAACTAACTGATACAATGATGTAAGTGCATTCATTTCCTAAAGATTTAAGTTAACCTTATTAAGTGGACATTTTGAGTCGTTAAAAGATACACTTAAGAATGTAATACAAATAATTTAATGAAAACTGTATGGACTATAAGCTTTTGCGATAGCTTTAGTCAGTGACCAGAGAGTTGAAATGATCGCCATAAAATTTGGCTTTAATGCCGTTGCTGTGAGACGACTAATAAAGATGTATTGTAGTAGAAAATCAAGTAGCCAGGAGTGATGGATTTTCAGCATTCGTTGATTGTAAGTCTGTATGTGGGCTGTGATTGGGACTGTGGGCTTTGAAGTAAGTATCCCAAAAATTATTCTTCTAATCATTTTAATGTATTTGAATCGTCGCCTAATATATAATAGCGTGAAGTTAAGTGGATGTGAAGTTAATCACTCAGTAATGAATTTATGTTTCAAATTCCATGTGCATAAGTTACACTCAGACTTCTTGAATTCCTTTCAAGGAAAATATTAGAAAAATGTATAAAATCAGCTCACCTTATACTTACTTTTCTTCCCAGTTCTGTTACCCCCGAGGAGTTACAACATTCAGCTGCATGTTTGGCTTTCATTGTTATGGACCATGATTTGATAATGTCAAATGATTTTGAAGGATGCGTATTTGTTCGACCTTCACTAACGATAAAATCACCAAGTGAGAGGGAAATGAATACAGAAAATCCCAAACTTTCATTTTCAACTCTCCGACAGCAGAACCGACCTCCTAGTGAATATAAACAACTGCAGATATGCCTGCCTTTAATTCATCCAGTTAGTAAAAGTGAGTGTTAGTATTGCTTTCCATATCACTTAAATACGGCGGACTCTGGTTTGGCAAGAAATTTAATTCCTTATCACATTTAGATTTTCTAAATCGAATTGGTCACTAGGTTAAGGTAATATGAGGTTAGTCAGTTTTATTATGTCAATCAACAACAGGAAATTTCAAGTTTAATACAAAAAGGGTTCGGGTTTTAAATTTATCTCAGACAGGTTGGAGTTTTCGAAGTGTTTCGGTTTCACTTCAACACTCAAGTAATGAAAATTAATTAAAGAAAAAGGTACCCTTTCAGCGATGAAACCATTCAGTTGCTCAGCAAACACGCTTCATTAGAAAGCAACTCAACATAGATAGTTTGCTTGCATTACAATTCATTTTGCAAGTTTGATGTAGAAATTTTATACGATTTTTATTCGCACCATAAGCTAGTACATAGTAGTGTAAAATGAAAATATCCATTATTGGGTTATATCTGACATTTGCAAAGTCATTTCTACACTTTCCTCATCAGCACAGGGTTCGATCATTTTTTGATACAGTAAGCTGAGAACCATTATTAATTCACTGGTAACGTAAGACTAATCAAAAATTTCAGCTACATAAATTTTATTTTTCGTAGAATATGGTGCATTGGATGTTTTGGGACAACGTTCTGATGCTTATGCCCAGGAGGTTTTTAAACGATGGAAAGCTATAGAAGACAGTGAAGTTAACAAATAATTCGAGCGAAGCATTACAGTAAACAAAGTCCGAAATAATTACTGGCATTTAATTTGTTGCTGAGAAATGATTCGGAAATGAAATTTTTAGAATCAACCAGACGGTGCATTTTTGTTAACGCGGTTTTTCTTTTTTCCCGACTATAATAATGTTAATTTACCTTGATATACATACAACGTTTGCATTAAAGAAAATTATAAAAGCATAAAAACAAATGAGTTAACTGTTCAAGGTTTCAATAATGGGTTTTGTGGGAAAAAAGATTGAATCATGATCTGTTTCGCGCATAATGGATACTACTTAACGGTTCCTGATAAAAGCGCCCTAAAAGTACACGATCTTGATAATATCGGGAACTACGTTAGTCAAAAACAAGATATTCAGCAAAGAGGACTCTTTCTAACGAATTTATTCTTGAGCTGTACATTCAGCTTGAGAATAAATTCGTTGGAAAGAGTCCTTTTCGCTGAATATCCTGTTTTTGATGTCACAATGAGAATTATGAACTACGCTAGTAACATTCGTTGACACTAATTAATTCTTTTAATCTTACAATATTAACCATCAATATCCTTCTGTATGATGTTACTTTATGTAATAGTTAGTTGCGCATAATCTGCTATGATGAATGGTTAGTCTTACAAAACAAAATCTATTAACCTCCAGCTCTTTTGATCAAACCGCATAAAATACTATGTTTGCTTCATAGCGCCAGTAGTTTTCGTAAACGGAAAAGTGGTTCTATACAAGCTTTATACTAAAACAAATTAGGACAATTGACGTTCCTTGCTTTATTCTAATTAGCATTTTATTTTATAATGTCGGCGAAATAATAGACTTTAAAAATGATTGTCAGTCAGAAGGAAATTAATTTACTGTTTTACAAAACCAATAGGCAAGGAAATTCATAGTTAGATTTTACTTAACATTTTTGATCCATTGCAACTATTTGTTGAACTTTTAACCCCTCTAGTAGTTTTAACTTAGATAGATGATAAATATCTTACAACTGTATTTCCAATGGATTACACTACGAAGATATCGAACTTCCTCATAGTTATGAACAAGCCTTTCTGATCGCAAAGTCAAATCACCAGCTGTTGCATTACAAGAAATGAAATAGTGCATTCCTTAGCGGTAATATGATGCTTTTTGACGGGACATCTAGAAGTAGTAAGGACGAAACCATTGGACAGGACTATATATACTGGTCATGCATCTTAGTGCTAATCATGTGGCGAATAACTGATAGGACGTTAAGACAAATAACTAACGAAGGCATTGGATGAAGGTTACGCTATATCGCATATCGACGGAAGTAGAAAAGTGTGAACCACTGGGTTTCGACCCAGTGGCTGTCTGATAACGTAGTCATCATGAAACTTGAAGGTCCTTCATTCGACTCCTGAGGTGTTGTGCGTGCGCACTGCATCTAGTGTTCCCAGGTTTTCAATGATCCTCCAGTCGAAGTCAGTCTATGATGAATACCAACTTGAAATAGTCTATGGTCTTATATTTTTACTAATGCATGTTCAAGTGTATTCTTGACCAATGCTAAATATGATGAACATATCAAGAATACTAAAAATTAGAGTAATAACTAGCTGCAGCAGATGGTGATTGACAAACTTCCATCAGAAGTTGAGATATTTCTAAATCATGTAACAGGCATTTTTTACAGTTGAAAAAGATAATACCAACGATTGTTTTTCTGAAGTGTCAATGTAAACAGAACAATCCAATGAGTTCATTTTCTAAACACACTGAATAGTGATAAACAAAACCAAAACAAATCATGTGCATATGCATATATTCACATAACGTAATCCTCGCACACCTATAGTTACGTAACCAGTAAAGCAACGTAGCGTAAGAGGCTGATAACATGCAGTACATGTTGGTTTTTCATTATGTTTAAACTATTGGTACAATATTCGATGCAAACTACCGCTTTTCCATAATGATTACTGATGTATTTTAACTGCTTTCAGTAGTCACATTCCCTTTCTGACTGCGACTTCAAAGATAACATGAATCATTACAAGAAATGCATTCATGCAGTTACACGTGTGACTGTTTAGCAATTGGAGCCAATGAATAGAAAACTAAAAATTTACATACCAGGATAATTTAATGACAAGTGGTGGATTGTGTAAAGAAACATCATTGATAATAAGAATGATGAAATAATGAAGTACAGTAAAATCCCAACTAATTATAAATATGAAAACAGAAAATCTTTGAGTTTATCTAACGGGTTAAAGTTTGGATTTCTTTTCTCCTATGATGAATTCCTTTTTTTCTAAATATTTAGATAATTATTTTCATAACTTCATAAGATCACAATCTTTAAGGTAAGTTCTTCATGACAGACAAACTCGTTAAACTATATTACTCATTAACTAACAATGAGAATAAATACTACTCCATTCTAGATATGACACCTCAATCTTGTAAAATTAAATCCCAGAAGAGGTTGACTACTCATGGAGTTTAGCGTTTCTTAACAATAAGAACACAACGACCCGTTGATTTCTTGCCTCCAGTAGTTTTAAGACCGACTTAAAGCATAAAGTACCAACGAAGGAACAAAATAATAGCTTCTGTGGATGCTTTACTTTAAAAAAGCACTTACAGTAAATCCAGAAAAGACACTGATCAGCAAAGTGGACTCTTTTCGAAACTTCTCAGCATAACTCTACAGTTACATAGTAGTTTATATATATCATGAATAATGCAAACGAAGGTCAGAGGTTAACGTTACTGAATAACAAAGCATATAGAACAACAAATGGTATAATGTCAATCGTGTGCAATAAAATATGCAGAAGTCAAATAATGAATAGAGCTCAGAAGCGTTAATCTGTCTTTACTAAGATGGGATATGGGGAAAGGAATATTGAATCCAAAAGGAGAGAAGAACTTCAATCAATAAGGTAACATACGGAATTGAGGTAGATTGGAGAGAAAATTATTGAGCAAAACTTAGAGTTGTGGAACTGAGACTATTGCACCAAAAGGGGCTGAACAAAGCTCTTATGCACTCAGAGTTCAGGATTCTCTTTGTGAATAACCAGAAGTAATGCAGTAGAAGTGAGGAGTAATCGAAATCTCTTCGAAATGCTTGGTATCACACTGAATGAGTTATGTACAAATGTTACGTGACCTGATAGATTACCTTCTAAAATAGAACTGTTTATCGGTCTGGATTCTGTTTTCGACAACCATTCCGGCAAGTGTTCACGAGCATGCCTTGACAGTGTCTTACTGATACTTAGCTCCACAGGAGGAAGTAAACTGATATACTTACATGTATGTTGCCGACAGCGAGATTTTGAGTTTCACATTTTAACGAACGATAGCTTATGTGCAGAAGGTTAGACGGAGGGATGCATCAAGAAACTTTTATCGAACTGCTTTGGGTAGGTGTGCTGATAAAACATTCGTGTTGTCTTCAGATTCACAAACGGATAATTTGGGATTTTGTAACGTTATGTGAAACAACAGGCTTTTTCTTCATGTATTTATTAACGTATGAGGTTGAGTGTTCATTCTTAACCAACTCATTATCCAATGTATTTTCTATTCATAAGAGATAGATTCCTGTAGTAAGATATGTAATCAGGTTCCTTTTTGTGCCTATAGGGACAAACCTGTTAAAATTCTCCCGCTGTCTGTTTCATTTAGGTTTATTGTAAACCGATCTTTGAAGTGATCCAACACTTTTCCGAGAGAGCTGAACATTGAAAAGGCAAGTTCATATTCCAACTTTACTTCAATCATAAAACTGATAGATGAATGAGCTTTATTGAAAATCTTCAGAATTTTATTTAACTCAATTGTTTCACGGTTAAATATGAAAATACCATTCGCATATCTCTTATACATTCCGAACTGATGGATAGTGGATTGCAAAATATTTTACTCTAAATAAGTGATGAAATAGTCGGCCAGTAAGGGACCAAGTTGGGACCCCCATTGCTGTTTCACCTTTCCGTCGATATATTTCTACACTGAATAAAAACTGAACATTTAATATACTTTTTGAATATAACTAGTAGGTATAACAACATTTAAATTATTGGAATCAATAAACTTGCCCAAAAAATACATTACTTTCATCAGAGGCCCATTGTTGCATAAAGAGGTAACGTTTAGGGAAGCTGTCATCTTACCAGATAAGCTTATCTTCCTTATTGTACCAACAAATGTAAAAGCATTTCAGCTGCTGCAGAGATAAACTTTGAAACAGTAATAAATAAGGCTGTTTTATACTAAAATAAATAAGTGTATTCAATATTGTGTAGATAAGGTAACAACGTTTTCACACAAAAGTACATGTAAATAGTCTGAAGAGTCTTATTTATCTGTTATTGTTTAGTATATCAGGTTGAGCTTAGTTTAAGGTTAATATAGACCTCAGTGAATAGTTATCTCGCAGTTTTACGTTTAAGTTACTAGCAATCATCGTCTTCTGTGTGACAAATAACTAAAAGCTGATAAAGGTAGCAAGATTTAGAAAGTGGTTCTCAAACGATACTGAGAATGATTTCAACGTTGGATTAAAAAGTATGATATCACCACCAACGGGATCTTTACTATAAGTGAAAAAGGAAGCACAATGAGGAAGCTAAGATGAAATAACTAAAGGATATTTTGCTCTTACAGCCTTTCAGTAGAACAAAATTCTAATAGGTTGCCATTGGAAACCACTTAGGATTCCGAACCAATGGATTAATGGCAACATCCTGGTCGTGGAACCAGAAGGTCCTGGGTGCAATCCCTGGTGGGGTCACAGATGAGCTCTGGTGAGGAGTCCCATACCAGGACGAAACAGCCCTCCAGTGTTTCCCAGGTTTCCAATTTTTCTCCATCTGATTTTAGTTCATGAGGAATACCAAACTGAAATCAATAGATAAATCCACACAAACCTCAAAATTAAGGTGTTTTCCTTCAATATAACCTTGGAAGTGGTTGGAAGCAAGATGAGAGCAACTGCTACTTAAGTAGTTGGAAATAAAATTTTTATAGTGCCCAGTGTAACTAGATCACGTTTTGTTTCGAACAAATATCTGAACTTGAAAGCATTAGAAATAAAGCTCAGCAGTTACCAATAAACCCAATGATGATGATGATGTCTTTTTAATGAAGTTGAATTTGCAAGTTGATGAGAACTCTTATCCCAACATTCTTTCGAGATCAAATAAAAAAGCCTATCAGAATCCCCCCTAAATATCATAGGGTTAATATGTCATCGATATTCAAGATATATTCTGCTAAAGTGCAGAAAAGACCATAAGATTGGATTATTTATTGCCCGGTCTAATCGCGCTTTTCAGTGACCGGTCAGTCAATTTAATGCAATGAACTGGTCCCACTTTCTAATTTCTCAAGAATATATAACCTTTACTACAATTTTTTGACAAAACGCTTAGTCTTATGACTAATTACCAAAAACTCATAAACCAAGAGCTCACAATCATTCATTCCTGAACTAAATTCAACCACATTTACATGGTAGATAAGCGAATTCTGCATCTGTATCAATACCACTTATTCATATAACTCCACCCTAAAATATACTTTTGTCCGGTTATCTAAGAATATGATAGTAATTTGTAACCCCTGGATAGATTCAAAAGTCATACTTGACCACAACATAGGTAAAAGAAAAATGTATTTTATAATTAGCAAATATAATAAGGCAGTACTCTCTCTACATTAATACTCTGCAGTACTCCATACACCACTAGGATGGAATGTTAATCAAGAAAAGCTAAAGGTGAAGTTACTGATACTACTTGTTAGTCAAAGCTGAAATACGTTAGCTAACATTAAACCCAGAAACTAATAAATCGAAGTAGAGTGCCTAAGTCAGTGAGCCACATTGACAAGTAAGGAGACACCTACGGAAAATATCAGCATACAAACTGTCATTACTGCCTAACACTACATGCCAAATATGGGAACAACAAGCACCAATACAAACAGATGAAACATATAAAAAAATGGAGGGAAGTAATCAACAATGACGGAAAGTTATCAAAGAGAGCAACGAAGAATGATACATTACTGAAATTCAGTATGACGATTAAGATGGAGGTGATGTGTGGATACATCTGTGCCACTGAGATCGATTCTGAAGCATATCCCATAGAGTCTCCAACCACTAGTTCCTGTTAACACATGGACTCCAACCGGTAAGTCTACTATTCTATAGTCGGCTCGAATCAGCAGTCAAAGTCGTCATGGACTGATGCCATGTTTTAATATGGCCTAATCTAACCTTTCTCCAGAATAAACCTACTTCAGCTAACATCGTGCGATAAGGAACACGGTGGATATGCATAAGTAACATATGTCCCAGACACATCAATCGATGAAGATTAAAAACCATACCAACTGACTTTTCAGGCGTCTCTCAAACTCTACACCACGGCCTATGCTCCGAAGGCAGTCCTAGTCGACCATCTGAAGCCTCCTCACGTCTCGTATCTTTAAGGCCAATGTTTCACAGCCATATATCAGAACAGAGCGAACTGCAGTGCAGTATACTCCACCTCTAATAGAAAGTTCGATATCACGGTGGACCCATAAATGGGTAAATTAACAAAAGGTAAACAAGCTCTTTGTATCCATGCAGAAATTCCGTCTTTCACTGACCCACCAGGGATGATTTGAATTCCCAGGTAAATCAACACGCTCAACCATTTCACTCTATTGAGATGAAGGGCATCACTGAAAACCAGTTCTGGAGCAACGTTTTGCATTTGTTTGCTGAGACACGCATCCCAAACATTCTCTATTTGCCACTGAAGATGTCCACAAGACTCTGAATTTTGTCAATGTCTTCGTCTAACAGAAATGTTTCATCTGCATACTCGAGATCTAACGAGGATTCAACCGAGACAATTTCAATCCGTTTAAAGTCAAAGGACGAGACGGAGACCTACAGAAGTACGGCTATAATAAAATTGAATAAGAATGAAGAGGATGAACGTTCTTGACGGACACCATTCAACGTACAGTACTCCCAATTGCCTTCAAAATGCCCATTGATATTTTGCGTAACCCTCCTTTGGGCTACTTATAACCTCTTCAACCTCGATAGGAGTTGCCACGTCACACTCAGAGTTGCATTCAGCAACCAGATGAATAGCTATCCGCCTCAAGATCCCTAGAGGCAAGTCGTACTGCTCAGAGCATCGTTCCAATCGCCTTTCCAGTAAGTATATCACAGACCTATCCTTATCCAGTACAGTCCCACTAACCAGTGACTATTTTGTTGCAGTTTTCATGATACGTCGAAACCACTGTTTTTTTGTTATCTCCACAGACTGCAGCATCTGGCTAACATTCGCTGCTCATAGTCATGTCACAGACTTTGTCAGGCTATATTTTAACTGTATCTGCTCCTCATTACGCCTGCGGAAATGTGCGCACTTACGTCCATTATTAATAAGATGCTGCTAAGATTCGGTGATTCTTTCTAACATTTTGCGAGGTTCAGTCAAGGTTTACGATCAACTATGGCCTAGAAAACTGTTTCCACAGCAGATTCAAGATAGCATCAAATGTTATGTTGACCAGTTCCATTTTTTATCAAACAAGATCCTCCCTAACCACAGCTTCAGCAGATTCATCATCAAGCCGCACTCGGAAACATTCATTTAGGTGCAGGCATAGTTCCAAGAGCGTGGTTTAGAAGGAACGGCTATCTTCCATCGACCGTCTTAGAAGATACCTGATAGCAATATGCTCCATCTGTGCGTCGCTGATACGAGGTAGGTGAGCCTCAAATAAATGCTTTTCCTTGTGTTCGCGATGGTTATCTCAACAGAGCTGTACCAGGCAACGATCGTTAACTTTTTGTTCAACTGTATTTTTAAAACTGACACCAAGGTGCTATTCTGGTTGATTTAGCCTACAATTTGAGCATTAGAATCATATGCTACAACAACTAAGTCTAAATCTTTGGCTTTCAGTCAACTGCAGTCAATGGGAGTGTGAGCTAACACTACAAAGAGGCAACCGAAAGTTTCATCTTCTTAGTCCTTAGTACACCATATAGTCAAGAAACGCATATGCCACTGTTAACCAGAATCTACTCAAACAGCTCATTCGACGCTATACCTGAACCCGTAAAACCACGGAAACTAACCATCAAATTCCAAGAAACTCGAAAAGTGATGTTTGTACATCCACCATAGTGACCTAGCACCGACGTCCTTTACTATTGGTCTGAGTCACGTTGGTAGATGTAGACTGCTTGGGTGGGGTCCACGAGACGAAACAAATCAGCGCTTGAGGACTCTTGGTGATATGATTGAAAACCGGTCACAATGGCGCAAATGTATTTATTTCTGGACATCTAAAGCTTGAATATTGGTACTAACCTTTATCTTCAGATTGTTTATTTTCTTACACAACTTTGTCTACTTTGATATCACTCTTTTTCTATCCACCTGTTATTTGTGTACTACTATGAAGCGTGCCGATTTGAGCCGATGGACGTGTACGCAAGGTCCTACGTTGATTTCGTCAGTGGCCCACACCACGGAAAGTTACTTCTTTTTGAGGTAACTGGAATAAAAGCTACCTCAGCATAAATGGTATGCGACCATGAAACACGAGACATATACTTGTAGCTAGTCACAGACTTTCAGATGTTGTAAGTTTAACTTCGTGCGGAGAATACTCATCAGAACATGGAAGCAAAAAAAGGCCAAGGAAGGGTGTTTCTCCAATGATTTACATAAATAAATACCTTTTCCGTTCCTAAACTCTTTTGACCACATCCTAACTATCGTCATTTGCGCAATGCCGTATCTGGATGATCTTTATTCAATTTCTGTTATATTTTGATCAATCTTCACTATTCACAGCGGTACTGAAATGACAGTTTCGTTTGTTACTATGCTTAACAAATTACTATAACTTTCTGGCATATATATATATATATATATATATATATATATATATATATAACTGTTTTAACTCAAAACTAAACTTTCCAACTTTTCTTTCTATGAAATTGTCACACACAGAGTATTGCAGCTTTTGACCGATAGCTGCTACCGTGATTTGGTGGTTGGGCTTGCATATCACAGTAACCTAAGCTGTACCGGTGGGAACATAAGGTCGCACTACACCAGTCAAAGCAAGTTGGATAGTTGTCAGACAAAAATATATTTATACTGGGTGATGATTGAAGGTGAGATGAAAATCTGGACAGCGGCCGGATTTAAACCAGCGACCACCTGGTGGTCGCTGCGGTCCAGGTTTCCATCTCACCTTCAATCATCACCCAGTATAAATACTAGTGTGCCAAACTACGGCTTTGTCAGATAGTCAAATGAAAAAAAATAAATTTACTGTCGTATTGTGAACAGCTGCACTATGATGGAGAGGGTCCGAAGGTGAAGTTGTACTGCTGGTTTAATACTGACGTGATAGTAGTAAGGTGCTTCCCAGCAGTCCATACTGGAGGGGGAACATTAGAAAAGATCAGATCCCAAAGATAGCCTACGTCGGTGCCAATAATACGGGTTTTATAGCTGTTAAAATGCACATGGATAGGTATATTTGGAAATTACTCAAAACTAAGGCCCTTTGTTTTACTTGATGGCTAGAGATGGGATTCAGGATGCCTGTTTCATCCTATTTGAAACTCGTCATCTGGATGTATTTGCACCCCAGTGAGTGATGTTTCCACTGAGACTTGAACCCAGTACCAACCGCTTCAAACACCAGAGCATTATCCACTAAGCTACTGGAGGCACGAAAGCTACCTCTTGGTGGATACATGTTGAAATGGTGAAAAATGACACTACACTATAGGCATCATCATACCACTAACTGATGGCGAAAATGTTCTTAATAAACATCATTAATATCACTGGTTATTTCATCAATTGAAACCTAGAAGTGACAATCACCGCTTCTAATTCTGCCCCACAATTGATTAAAATTAAAAACCGTATAATGCTCAACTTTTCATTTATATAAAAACATATTTATTTTATATTTTCGGTAATAAAAAAAAACAATGATCAAAATAAATTCAGTAAAGAGTCCCTAAGAAAAAACACAACCAAATCATCATTTTTCAGATTATAAAAATCTTTATATCACTAAAAGACTAGAACCAGCAGTAAAAAATCATACGCATATCTCATATGCAAGTCAAAGAATAAAATTATCAGTAAGTGAGTATTGCAAAACGAAAACAACTAACAAGCTATACGTTTAAATGAAAAATAACTATATTTGTAAAATATCAGTGAGGATTTATAATCCGTCTACAAAATGTTCAACATATTCAACTCTATCATGTCAACTGTTGATCTCGAAGTCTGTAAGATAACATATATGTCGATGGTCATGTGTAGTGGGATTTCAAATTCTAGAGAAGTGTATAGCATCAGCATCACACACTAAGTATACAAAACAGGAAATTTAAACGATGATGGTGATGACAATGACAACGACGCCAATGCTGACAACAACAATAATAAGATTGGTAATGTGCAGCATAACAAACCATTCATTGAAAATAAATTACGTAGCATCTTGTAAAACAAACAGTAAGATAACCTGAATTGTAGAAAGTTTAGGAAACAACCTAAATTTACAAACTATGCTATGAGGACGTATTCCTCAAATCTTACTCCCAACCTTGTATATAGGAATGCTCAAAAAGGTAACTCATACCAAGGTAAGCAGAGACAAAAGGAAGTATAAGAAATAAAGATGGTATTTAGGTAGTGACAGTACTACTATAGTCATCATGCAAAGTTGTTTAAAGGTAGTTGCCACAGTCACTGGATTAAAATAGATAATTCTTGATCACTAACAAAGATTGTGCTGTTTTTTTTTATTACTTCTGAAAAATCGTTTCAAACCTGAAAATGACACTATACAACTGACCACCTAGTCTTCGAGCAAGCCAAGAATTTTTAATTACTGCTATCTTTAGTGTATCAACAGAAAATTTTGCATTCAGATTACAATGAATTGCTCGCCCCATTCCCTCGATTACAATCAAATCCACCTACAAGAAAAAACATTTCAAAAAAAAAAGCAATTAGCATAACACGATAAAAATGTACATGAATTTTCTTCAGGTGACAATTTCTTAGAATCATGGAAAATAAATATACAACATAAATAATCACAACAACAATCCATTGTACCGAATTCAGTGAAGTCAAATTATTGATAATAACATACACACAGGTGTGATATAAAACCTTCCAAACGGTTTTAAAAACAAAAAAATTATACAAAGAATGTTTACAAATCTTTGTCATCTCTGCATAATCAATATGCAATCGCATATAAGAGGTCATTTCATCTTTTGTTACTATCTTTTTCTTTGGCATAAATTAGTAGTTAGACAAAGCTGAACTAAAAAAAAACTAGAACAATTTTCCAAATATATTGTTATGGGATTTGAGGTTTCCATCTTTCAATGTCGTTTACAATAGGCTTCGAAAAATTGTATGGTGAAATTCATGACATATATGCTGAATAAAAATGAATTTAACTGCCTAAAACCTAAATGATCTGAATATCTACATCTATATGAGTAACCTAAAATACATGAACCTAACAATCCACTATACCCAATATTTTCTCGATATATCGATCACCCACAGATAACGCAGCTGAGTGGTTGGTAAAATACTTGAGCCCTGTCAGAAACCATTGGAAGATACGTTTGATCGTACATTAATACCGAGGATAAGACTGACTATACACGCTGGTAACAATGATTGGTATTTTATATGACTATACTTCAAACAGTCTTATATTCTATATCCCTATCACTTCTTTGACAGAGTTCAATTCACACTTGAGGGTGAATATTTTCGATAAAAATTTATAGCGTTGTGATGGGACCATTGCTAGGCGCTCTCATCGGAAGTGTTTCAACGTATAAGCAATATGTCGGTGACATAGTCGTTGTGTGGAAAACCTGATGATGCGATACATTTGCTAGAGAAGATTAGTGCGGCCTAAAATCACGCTAGCCTTACTTGTGAAGAAGAGACGGATAACCAGCTACCACTTTTTGACATTAATTAGTAGACCGGAGGATGCATTTATCAGAAGGTTGATCTATAGGAAGCCAACTTGGAAAGGAGGATATCTTAATGTTCATAGCTGCTGTCCAGTCCAAAGTAATAGCAGTTTAATTCGATGCTTATTTAACAGATTCGATCGCATCGGCACCGATAACACAAAGGAGGATGAAATCAAGTTGTTGGTGGTAACATTGATACAGAAATGCCACCCGTTGAAATTTATCAATAGATGCAAACGTCGTGTTCAGGTTTTGAGTAAAGTCCACTACCATTTATAAGCGCGTCCTAGGTTTCTCTGTTAGCCACAACCAAGTATATTACCATGATTCACATAGTTTTATTGTGAAGAAAGACCTGAATCAGCCATTTGTGAAACATACTATGCAACCCAGGTCACCATTTCAGAGAAGGCAAGCTCCATGCAACAATACAAAGTAAAACAACACATAAACAACTTTACCACATCCTACTGTGTTTATAAATTTACATGTATGTGTAGGCACACATACATACGGAGGAGTAATCGTGTGGCTTCAAGAACGGATGACTTCAACAGATCCGATAAGTGTAGATGACAGACTTTTATCTTCATCTATTGCTAAACCCATACTAGAAACTACTTACAGGGTAGACATTAAAACAGCTTTTAAAGTACTACATAAAAGTAATCACAGCCGAGTGCTGAAAGTTATTGAAGATCTGGTCATCAGTAAATTCATACCCCTTTATGTATACAAAAACAACTAACCTCAAAATAAATTTGTGCTCACTGTGAACCTAGCTTAGTAGTAATGATTTTAAATCCCATACCAAGAGTGATGTGATTTACATTTTGTTTCTTCTCTGGCCTTCCTATTCTCATGCTTCCTATGGACTTAGTCGACCCTTTTCATAACTTTTGATTTAAATAGTTCGACGAATCCATACGTGACCAGATTGTTCGAAATACATAGCGCTATTACATCACATGTTCAAGATAATCTTCGTCTTCACCAATACACAGTTTAAATTTACAAAGGGTGTAATTGCTTTAACTTCCCCATCTTGCCATAAATAACCTTTATTTAGTTTTAGTGTTGTTGCCTGTATTATCCCGTCGTTGAGTGGACGGAGTTGATCGGTCTATGTTGGCGTATGGGTCCTGCATAGATGCTTCGATACTCCCTGTATATGAGTTATGTATTAATGAAGGATAGGGGCCAGCAGTTCGAGTCCTAGAGGGGACAATATCGCTCACTAAGAGGTTGACACATTCAGTTGACGAGTCTCGAATAGAACAAAAGGCACGTCCTCCATTCCACTGTTAGCCACTATCCACCATTAATACTTAGTTTGATTGAATATATTACTTGAACTTTCGTTGTATCCTGATTTATAATGTTTTCCTAAGTTTAAAGTGCCCAATATAAGGTTTGTTAATTAATGTGAGTGAAAAACTTGGGGAATGTGGTAGAATTTAATTCCATATTAGGTTTGCGTTGTTGACGACAACACGAGTAAAAAGGAGTTAATAGTATTGATTGTGTTACTCTATAAGGAAGGTACATCAGGAAGTTTACGTAGGATCCTCAACAAAGCTGGAATTAAGGTGGCATTTAAACCTACAAACTCATTCAAAGATACGTTTTTAAGCAAAATAATCTAATCTGTCGAATTCCATGTAATGACTGCGAGGTCAAGTACATAGGTCAAACTAGCTAGTCAGGGTCAATTAGAATAGTGGAACATACAAATTTAGCTAAATATAGAATGATAGACCTATATAAGATCAATAATCTAGAAAAACACCTGGCTATGGCAATGCATGCATTAACGCACAACCACACAATAAGATGGGATAATTAAGTCCAATATAATTAGGTGGAGAGAGAGATTGATTACTGGATCTTTGTTCATCGAATCAACACCTAACACATGTAACAGGAGTGACACAACACACACACCAGAGATATGGGGAATTTTACTAGCAATAAAAGAAAGAAAATTAAGCGATGGGACTATAAAAATCAAACATCGAACATAGTATGATTACATAGATTACATGATTATGAGTAACATTAATTTGTGCTCGAAACATCCCCAAGTAAATAATACTGTATCACTGTGTATTATAAATCAAATAAACAATCTAGTATGGGAGATTTGATAATATTTGTAGTGGAGATGATTTATCATTATTAATTATTGTTATTATTCAGTTTGTATACAGCTGAAGAAGATCCTATGAAATAAAATGACGCGTCATTTTATCCTGAAAAATTGTTAATCAAGTTAATAAAAAGGACTAAAGGTAGACATCACGATTATTGGATTGCATAAATTTATCTCGTCACCTCAATATAAATTCGGAAAAATTTATCATATTTCAAGGGGACAAACGAAATACTCTAAAAGTAAAATAACTGCATGACGAGAAAATGGTAAGTGGTATATATATATATATATATATATATATATATATATATATATATATATATATATATCGCTTTAACTGTAGAAAGTTGACGTAGGCAGACGATTTTCAACCAGAAAGTAAAGTGCTCGAAGCTGACCCACGTAATGAAGTATTCAAGCCTAAGCAATATCACAAATCCTAGTGAACGAAGTTGCACTCAGTTGCAAAGTTATATTTCAGTCACTTTATTTCAGTATCACGACTCATATAAGACATCTGACTTCTCGGCAGTTGCCGAGAACATCAAGAAACTAGGGAGTCATTCATTGTGTAATTTTTTAATCGCAACTATACATCCAGTTATTTCTGATTTTGTGATTTATTACTCAACGTCAACATTTAATATGGTACATGGGAACACTGTACAATGGTCTAGAAAGATAAAATCACTTCAACAAAACAGTTTACAGCATGAAAATACAGAAAGAAACCTCACAAATAAACGTTAATAGAGGCAGTTTATAGCAAAATTTCTCTCTACTTAAGTCATATATCAAAATACCATTTTGTTAGATGAATCGAAAACTGTTTACCTGTTCACGTTCTGTTAACTGAACCAAAGAGCTGGCAATTAGACGAAAGTCTAGACAGGGCGAAGTCTGACCGTTTTCAGCCAGCATAAGTTTACCATTGGAAAGAGAATCAGCTATCAATGGTTCAAAGCCAGCTATCATATGTAAAAGCAATTCAAGCTCTTGATAAGTTATATCATTAATAGCAGGACCTAGAAAAGAAAAAAAACACTTATTATGTACAACTAGTTATATTCTCGATGGAACTGCAAGACATTGTAGTTCGCAATAATGAGTAATTATAAACAGGTTCAGAGCTAAAGGCAAACATTTTAACATATATTTGAGGAGTTGACGGTGAAACACTTCTCTTATTAGGAAAGATAATGTCACACAAAAGCTCAAAAGTGATGCATGTTTCTTTCTATGCATCCATGTTGTTTAGAGTTTATTTCTGCCAACTTATTACTAGCTGCCATAAGCGCAATAAACCCAAAGAATCGACGATGTTAAAACTTACAGCGGATGGCTTCTTACTTACACGTAATTTATGTAAGAATTATTGTACTTTGTGAAGAAACTCTAAATATCGATTTATACAAGTTAAGTAATTTTTAAAGTGGAGCAGCGGTTTACCGGTTAGGGTAGTTGACTTTCAACCAGCTAGTTCAGGTTGGAAAAACTGCTCCACCGAACGAAACGAAACGCACTCATCTACCTTATGCACAATCAGGCAGCAGGCAATGAGCCACACCTATTGTGTGAGGGCTAGTGATACTACCTGGTTGCTCAAACCTTGTTAGATGGAGCGCGGCTCAAACCCGTGACCCAACAGTTGGTAGTCATCTCCTTAAACCACTGAGCCACAGCTCCACGTCGCTCTACCTACCGAGGTTTGGGCAGCCAAGTAGTGTCATTATACCTCACACAATACCTCATATGAATGTACACCGAGGTGTTGAGAGCATTTTAATTTACAATTTGAAAACAGAAAAAGGCTTTTAATTAATCACCATAAAAGAGATTCTTGGAGTCAGTGAACAAGCCATATGATAAAGTGAGAAGTTTATGTAGCAAAGATGATGTCAAAGGTAATATTGATACATGTACATAGATAGTGTAATTAGTAGATGAAGATTATCTGGATAATGTGATTTATTTGTGCAATATATTCCAAAACTTTGATCACACATTTACTTGTCAAGTCAATTTATATAAAACAGAAGGATAGAAAGACAAATAAAACAATGAGATAATAGACGATTAGAATTAAAAAAGATGAGGATAAAACGAAAGTGACACAGTTCATCCTAATTTTGGTAAGAAAACAAAGTTTACTAAGGTAGGTATAGTGTACGATATAATAATAATATGTTTTGCTACAGACGAACAAGGTCGTCTCCTAACTGCACTTATCAAAGTTCCACAACATCTGTTTTTAAAGCCATTTAAGTACACGTTTTCCCACCCTTAAATGCATGGCTCAGTAACTTCCCTATGTATGTGTGACCACACACATGTAAACTGGTAAACACGATTGGGTGTGACGTAATCATTTATACAGTGTTTAGGTTTGTGCCTTATTTTTTCCACAACTAAGCTTATGCTTAACTGCATAGTACGTTTTCCTAATAGCTGGTGTTAGTCTACGTTTCAAAATTATACTATTCAACTTCCTTCTGTATGGTAGAGTGATGTGAACACTTCTCTAAGGAACTGTGTATAGAGTTGGCTTTGGTGCTACCCAACTTATACAACGACTTATGAACTTCAACGGTTATCCGTTTTCCAGGACCAGGCATTACTGCGTAACGGTCCGAGTTGCCACACCTCATATCAGCACATCAAGTAAAAAGGTAGTGAGGTGAAGGATGAAGATAAGTGAATGCAGTCAAAAGAAATATAAAGTACGAGAAGAAAGGAAAGAGGAGTGACAAAATAGTGAGATTCGGTATAGCGTTGTTAAGATGAGGATAATGTGTGTATACATCTGCGCCACTGACTTCGGTTCTGAGCCATATCACCTAGGGTCTCCAACCACTGGTTCCTCTTGTCCCGTGGACCCCAACCACCTAGTCTGCATCGTCCTACATGGCTTAAACCAACAGTCAGAGACTTCATACATTGGTGCCATGTTTTAGTCTGGCCACCTCGGGCCTTTTTCCAGCCTGGACCCACCTCAGCCAACATTGTGTGACGAGGCAATCGGTGACTAGGCATACGTAGTACGTGTCCCAACCATCTCAGTCGATGAAGGTTCACAACCTCGTCGACTGACTTACCTCTTCTCCCCAAAACTCTACACCTAACTTCTGCATTACTCACATGGTGACACCACGGAATACGTCCTATACTACGAAGGCAACGGTGGTCAAACACCTGAAGCCTTCTTATATCTTCCACTTTCAATGGCCATGTTTCACAGCCATACAGTAGAACAGAGCGGACTGCTGTGCAGTACACGCGACCCTTAATAGACAAACGAATATCACGGCGGCGCCATAGGTGGCGCAAATTGGCAAAAGCCAATCGAGCCTTTTGTATCCGTGCAGAAATCTCATCGGCAACTAACCCACCGGGTTGATCCTACTTCCCAGGTAAGTGAAGTGGTCAACACACTCAACCACTTCACTCTCTATTGTTAACCGCGGTACCGCTGAAGACCAGTCCTGGAGCAAAAATTTGCATTTGGGTGGTGAAAATCGCATCCCAAACATTCTCAAATTCCCACTCAAAGTGTTCAGAAGACTCTGCATCTTGTCAGCGTCTTCACCTAACAGGACTATGTCATCTGCATATTCTAGATCTAAGGAAAATTCACCTGTGATTCGGTCAACGTCTTGTAATTAGGTGACGAGAGGGAAACCTCCATAAGAATATCTATGATAAAATTAAATAAGAATGGGGATAGTGGGCATCCTTGACGGACACCACTTGATGAGTATAGCTCCCTGGACAACTCACCATAGGCTCTAACATGCCCACAAGTGTTCGAGTAGAGAGCTTTCAATAAGGTGATGTACTTACTAGGCACGCCTTTCAGTGACAGACATTGCCATAAGACTTCTCGATCAACGGAGTCAAATGCCGCCTTCAGGTCGAGAAATACAGCTATTGTCGGGCGTCTGTAAGCATGCCTATGTTCCAGGACCTGGCGCAGTGTGAATATTTGGTCGATACATCCACGGCCAGGTCTAAAGCCTGCCTGGTTTTCTCGGGCTTGCTGTTCCCGAGCTCCACTCAGGCGTCGGAGAATTATAGAACTTAGGATCTTAGACACTATGTTTTCAGGCTGATTCCTCTGTGGTTATCACAAGAGGACTTCTCGCCTTTCTTGAAGACTGGGATGATGAGTGACTTAGACCAGTCGGAGGGGATCGTATTTGATTCCCATATACTGGCTAACACTTCCGTTAACCTGACTAAGAGCACTCTACCACCATTCTTGTATACCTCAGCAGGTAGTCCGTCTGGTCCTGCTGCCCTTCCCGTTTCAGGCTACCTACCGCTTTCTCAACTTCTTCTAGTGTTGGGGGGCCTGTCTCTATGTCCCATTCAGGGTCCGACTGGATAGCGGGCAACGCAATCGTGGCTGGAGGCCAGTTAAACTGTTCCTCGAAGTGTTCTGCCCATCGTCCAGTCGTCTCCCTGCGAGTGAATCGCAGATCCGTCCTTCTCCGCTATAGCCTCACTAACTGTTGTTGACCATTTCCCCCCAGTCTCCTTAATAAGTCTAAATAACTGTCTACTGTTACCGATCGCCGCTGCCTTTTCCATCTCTTTAGCCTTCGCTGCCCACCACTGTTCGCGATCGTTGCGCAGACTTTTCATCAGTCTACTTTTAAGTTGCGCTCGCTCTTCATTGTACTCATAGCCTGCAGGGATGCGTTCACGTGCATCCATTACTTCGGAAGAAGCTGCTGATATCCACTGGCTCTTTTTAGCCACTATTTTGGAGTCGGTTACAGTATTCAGTGCTGCTTTTACAGCAGACTGAAGAAGGCACATTGATATGATTATGAGCAATAATTTATGCTCGAAACCTAATCAATTAAATAATACTGTATCACTGTAATAGCAATGTGGTCTATCTGTGTCCATCGCTGAGTTGAGCTCAGTGGACGCCAAGTCAGACAGTGCCTTTCTTTATGTCTGAAATTGGTGCTGGCTAAAAATAGACGGTTATCTGAGCATAGTTGTAATAGGCGATCACCGTTATCTGTTCGTTCAGCTGGGATTCCGAAAGTGCCAGCTAAGTGTCTTTCTGTCTCACTTCAGTCTACCCACCTGTGCATTTAAGTCACTTGCAACAACCACCACGTCTGAAAGTTTGGCTTTCGAGAGAAGGCTAAACAGTTTTCAGTAGGACTGGTCCTTCACTTCATCCGAACTGCAGTCAGTGGGTGCGTAAGCAGAGATTACAAAGAGACAACGGCGAGTCTCACTATTCCTTTTAGTTCTCACTGTGCCGTTCAGCCTCATAGCGCAGAGGCGACTATCAACTGGGATCCAGTCTAATAGTGAGTTTTCTGCCCAGTGCTATGCCTACACCTGCAAGACCACGAGAGCTAGCTATCGAATCTCCAGAAACTCGAATAGTGAATTTTGCGGATTCACCAGATTGGTCAGGAGAGGTCAGGTGAATAACCGCAATTCGGTCCTGTATGTGTGTCTCAAACACAGCACACATCCGTGCCCCGAGTTGCTAGAGTCTTTGCTAACGAAGCCTGTTGACCAATTTGACGGAGGGTGAGGACATTGAAGGCTCCCATATGTAATTTGGAGCGTGGTTTAAGGAGACCAGGGATGCTGTTCTGTGGACTCAGATCGTTGTCGAAGGCTACAGAGGTAGGAGAAATTGAAGATGATGCAGCATCGTTAATTAAGAGACGTGAAGGAAGATTAGAAGGTAATGATGGAGATGGACAGCAGTCAGAAGAAACTTGAGTGCTGACAGAGTTGTGAGGGCGGTTGACACTTCCCGGCTGCCCACACCGTGGGAGGCTATTTCTTCTTAAGGTACCTGAAAGAGATTTGTGTGACCGCAGAGCCCATCGGACATCTGCTTGAGGCCTGTCACACCCAGCCTTTTGAGTATGATTATTTTGAACTTTTGTATTTTTGGGGCCGGATGGTCGAAAGGAAACGACAAGTGAACCAACACCGCCGGCCCGACAGACCGTGGGGCATGTTGGAGTGTGGTATTTTTGGG